GCTGCTACAAGCTGATTTTACTATGGCATGGTGGGATGTATCCGTTTCATCAGAGTTATTGCGTGAATTCACCCCGGCAACAATGCCAATTATAGCGGCAACAATCACTAAAGATCCAAACACTGCCAAGATAACTTTCTTGTGTTTCTTGGTGGAGGAAATGTGTTTGCCAGAATCAGAAATTTTGGTTAGGAGCTCTTTGATTCTGGTCATTTTCTTGCCTACTACAAGATAAGACTAGAAGAAGAGGAAGAAAAGTTTATGGACTATAAAGCAAAGGTAGAGGGAAAGATTGGGAAGGGTGCAGTGAAGAGAAGTGGCAGCTCGGATAAAGGATTTAAAGAGGTTGAGTGCAGAGCTAATTCGCATATTCTTTTAGGCTTTTCAATTTCTTAATTTCATGAAATTATAAAGCCCACGTGAAATTGGTTAGTCTTTCCTTCTCTCCATTCTCTCTCTCTCTCTTTTTTATTTAACTTTTCACCTTTTGATTTTTCGTTATACTAAAATATATATATATATATATATATATATATTTCTCATTTTCAATCCTGAAGCTTCAGACACACATGCTACAACTTGCAAAATTTCACCGAAACGAGGAGTGGCTGTCATTGAAATATTCCCCAGTCCCTGCTTTGTTATTACCGCTGATTTCTTTTACCTTGCATTTCATTCACGTGTTTGTTTTCCGAATTTCCGTGAATGGGGCTGCTAAGAGGCTCTGACATATACAGTATGATACATTGCACATTTTCATTGTTCATTCGTAAATCCTCTTCAACTTCTCTGAAGATTGAGACACCAACCACTGAATTACGTGATTAATGTTGTTGAAAACAAATATTTGAGCCTACAACTCACTTTAGAAAAGAAAGAAATGCATGCTACCAGACTTAGGCTATGCCCCCCAAAGTGTCGGTGCTCAGACTTGTACGATGCTTAACCTTTTTAATTAGTCTCTTCTTCTTCTCTCCTTTCCTCTTTCTTCTGAAGTTGATCACATTGCAATTCTTATTTAATCAAAACTTGAACCAAACACTTAATTTCCCTGATTAAACAGCCTTAATTTTCCAATGATGAGTCAAAGAATAGCAGCGCAGCCATAGATTTTAGCAGAAAGAGAAACTACTCCTCCAACTTGTCCAAAAAAGATCAGAACAACGGTAACAAAGGGAACGTAGCCTATGTGGCCACTCAAGTTATTGATGGATACACGAGCTGGAGCAGCATCCTGCAAAAAGCAGAAAAAATAAGGTTTAAATATATTATATTCGTTGGATTATGCATTTTTAACTTTAACTTTGACATTAATAAATCAAGGACAAAATATAAATATCGTTTCTTAATCAAATTAGTCAGTTTTATTAAAAGTAATTAAATAAAATTAAATTTGAAAATCTAAACTGATAAACTAAAAGATGTTATTATATAAATGATGTGTACAAAATTTAAATTTTTTTTAACAAATTTCGATACATTTAAAAAAAAAGTATGATAGAACTTTTTCTGATTAATAAGTATTGATCAAATTTTAAGTATAAACACTTTTTTTAATAAATGTCTACATATTATTAATTTTCTCAACTCTATCAATCTATCGAGAAAATTAATTTTTTAAAGTTAAGTGTTTCATCTTTTCCCTTTTCTGTTAATCTGTTCCACTTCGGGCCAAAAGTAGAATTTAGTATTCATGCATGCCAGATAATCTTGTTCTATTGCCAATTCAAACTCTCAATTAAATAAGTCAAACCCAATATACCTTTAGGTTAATTATTCTATTTTTTTATTATATCATCATTTGTTTCCATTTGAGGGATCCCATAACAAGAAAAAGAGGCCAACAAGGTATGCACATTATAATAATGGAAGTGCCAAAAAAAAAAGTTGACAGAAAGGATAAATTTATAACTTTTAATCGCGACTGTCTGTAAATATGTAAGAAATGGTTCATAATATCTAGCAATATGTGTAGAAATGATTCATAACAATAAATGATTTTCATATAGAACAATTTTTATTTTATTTTTAATAATTTTTCTATTTTAAAATCTAATTCATTAACATCAATACTATAAAAAAATATAAAGTTTTAATAATATAAAATGTATTAATTAAATCAACTTTAAAAAAGAAAAAAAATTGTATCAAGTTAAATAAAGACAGAATTATGAATATAAGGAGTAAAAGTAATTTTCTTGCTATGATCTTAACAAGCAATAAATATAAAGCATGGTTTGAAAAGCCGACATCAAACCATTAATGAAAGCTAATAAGCATTTGCCATACTCACATGTGGAATTAATCAAAGAGAGTAAATTAATTAAAGTAGCTGTATCTCACCATAATTAATTTGATTTGCAGCGGTGTGCTGGCTCTAGAAAGGTCTATGGAGAAAGAAAGTCCATCTTTAGGAGCAACAGAAAATCAATGCACAAGGTAGAATAATGCATAGCAATTAATGAATTTTGCATGTGGGGAGATCATAGGAGTAAACACAGTTAACCCTTAACATTTTCTTCTTAATGAAGTCCAAAGTTTATCCAAAACTTAGGTTGGATTCCAAACAAAAGACACTAAAGTAATCACTTTGGTTTCTGCCAAAGAAAGGTGTAAAAGATAAAGAAGACATGGATTCCCCTCGATGGATTGGACGCTTCATACATGTTGCAACCTTTTCTTTGCTAAATAAACAATAGAAAAATGGGAAAGGGACGCTCTCAGCATAATAATAATAATAAAAAAAGTTGTACAAGGTCTTGGTTTTCAGCTTTTATATATAAGGGAGTGTCATATGCTTAGATAGGAACCAATTAAGAGCTGTACATCACAATTTGGCTTTATGTAATGACTAATGGCTTACACAATGTTAAAGCAGCCTATTTCGGAAAAGTAATCATTACATTTGCGTGTTGTGAAGATTTTACTTTAAAAAGTATAGAGATTTCAAAAGAATGGGAAACCTAGGCAAAGGGCCGAGGGCCAGAGTGTCGGCTAGACTGATTGACATTTGTTATGCCTTCCCCTCTCTGCCTTTGGTTTATCAGTGAGACTAATCCAGCTTAGCTTTTTCAAAACAAAGACTAATCCAGCTTGTCATCTTCATCGAGGAAGGCATTACTTATATTCTCCCAATTTTTATTGAAAAGTCTAGGGTCACTCTATTATCGGTAGTAATAAAATAAAATAAAAAGGTGAGAAGGAATCGTTGCATTTTATAATATGAAAACGTATTTGAATAACGACTTTCATCTTTTAAGGTAACTTTTTTTAAAAAAAATTTGGATTTTTTTACTATTTTATTTTTTCTTGCCTTTTATATTTAGCCCTGTTTTAAAAAAGAGTTACCACAAAAAGTAACAAACAAAATTTAGTGAGAACTTTTCAAAATGAATAAACAGTGTAGCATTTTAGTTATTTTAAATAATTTTACAACCTTTTTATAACTTTATATATAAAAATATTATTTATAAAAAATTATATATATAAATGAAAAGAATACATAAATATTAATTATTGAAGAATACAGAGTAAATTTGTTAACAGCCCGTGTTCATACGTGCAACCGAAATTTTTCATTGAAAAATTTTGAATTTATGGGTACCACAAAATTAATCAAACTCACTCTAGCTTGCTTCTCATATCCATAATTTTCGGCAATTACTTTATTTAATTATCAAGTCCGCGAGATATTGCTTCTTCCAAGTTTGAACATCAATCAAATTGGTATGTCTAACCGTAAATTACGCTTTTTGTTTTTTTGTTTCCCAGTCATCTACCCGTGAATCATTATTGGCCCAAGTTGACCGACAAATGATGCGAAACATGATGTTTTAACTTTGACGGTTTATTATTTTAGTAGAAAATTTTAATTATATAAAATAATACTTGCATTAATATAGATAAGTTTAAACAATCTTTTCCTTTTTAAATTCTAATGGCTAGAGCCTACTTTCCGAACAATAACCATGTTTTTCTAATTCTTTTTAATTATACTCTTTTGTTTCATTTTATTTGTCATTTCTTATTTTTTTAATCTTATTTTTTTAATTAAATAAATTCAATTTTGATCATTATTTTTTTAAAATATTATACAATATTAAAATTTCAGAAAATATGTTTTGAAAAGTTTGAAATTCAAAATTTGACAAATCTTATTTTTAAAAATTTGATAATTTTATTAAAATAATAATCAAAATTGAGTTTATTTAACTAAAACAATTAATAAGGGACAGGCAAAATGAGATAGAGAAGGCACTATTTTCTTCAACGAGGCAGCTTATCATTATGTCTCCCCTTCTTTTTTTTCTCATAATTTCTTCTATATTTATATTTTATAAGAAAATAAGATAATGCAATGATGGATGTGAAAGCAAGGAAAAAAGTAGTTTCTTATTACTAGTCAAAAAGGATTCATCTCGAAATTTCGATCTTTTTTTACTTGTTAGCAGTTTTGGCACAAACAAAATTACATTTAAAATAGTACATAATTCATTTGTAACCTACAATTCACATCCAACATTTATTGATTGAGTTGAAAGCCTCGGCAGCCATGGTCCATTTTCTTAACAATAATTTTGTTATTAAATGTTAACAACCCTTCCTTGATAATCAATGATTGCTGAAGGGAGAATGGAAATTCGAGTTGGGAACATTTCCATTTTACTTAAAGCTTAAATTTATTTATTTTTTAATAAAAAGAGATACTCATATTACAACTATATTAAAGAAAAAAGAAAAAAAAAACAAAGGAGAAACGAGGGAAGAATGAAGTCTCTCAAAGTGAATTATCAAGGAGATAACGGGTTTCAAGCTCTGGCCCATGCTATCTCGTAGTTATAGATGGGCCTAACTGCAAATTCACAACCATACCAATGTCTTGGGTTTAGAATCCGGGGTCCGGTTGGGCCGAAAATACTTAAATCAGTTAACTGCTTGAGACCCGACAAAGAAACAACGTCGTTTCACCGTATAATTCAAAAATTTTCGGTGCCCTTTGTGGGAGTAGTGGCATTATGGAGCTATAGGAAAAACGGCTCAGTCCCTCTCTCTTTCTCTCATGACTCGTGAGCGCGGTTTTCTTCCAGTTAGGTCTCAACATCGGAACGTAGCTCCTCGGCCTCTGTAAGTCGGCCTAAGCTAAACAACTTTTTCATTTTTCATATTTTCAATCTTTTGATTATTGTTTAATTATATTCTGATGTTACTTTGCTATACTTAGAACCATGTACCTTCGAGCAATTCTAATTTGAGTTGAACAATGCTTAGTTGTAGATTTTCTTTTTTGGTTCAATTTGCTCATATTATATAACAAGGGAATACAAATGAATTTAGTTCTTAAAACTACTGATTCTGTTGGTAATTTCTTATTATTGTGCTTTCTTTTTTTGCATTAGGAAAGCCTTTGGGAAAGTTTAGTTTCTAGTGGCTTGAATAGCTTTACTGTCGAAAGGATCCAACAAGGAAGTTATCTTTAAGAGGATAGATCATATAAGAGGATTCAAAAGCAAAAGATATGGGAAAGAAGGCTAAGAAAGGAAATGGTGGTTTTGATGGGGATGGTTATAACAAAAACGTACCGAGGCAGGTGACTAATGGGACTGGGAAATTTAAAATATCTTTCAAGCATCAAAGCAATTTGGATTCACAAACTTCGCTCATCAGGTATCATTACTCTTTTGATCCGAGCTGGTAATGAGAAAATTTTAAGTTATGTTGTGAATGTGTTAACGGATTTGATAAACCTTTTAGGAAACAGGTTGAGCCAGAAACAGCTAAATACTTCTCGGAGATTGCGAATCTTTTCGAAAGCCGAGGGGTGGATGTGGAGGAGCGATCAGTAATATGTGGTAATGCTCTTGAAGAAGCTAGGGGGAAGGAATTAGAACTAGCCACAGATTATATCATAAGCCATACTCTTCAGACTCTACTTGAGGGCTGTGATGTGGACCATCTTTGCAGTTTCCTTAAAGGCTGTGCAAATGTCTTTCCTGCTATTGCAATGGACAGATCTGGTTCTCATGTAGCTGAGACAGCTCTTAAGTCATTAGCCAGGCATGTTCAAGACACAGAGGATTACACCATAATTGAAGAGACTCTGAAAATGATATGCAAGGTATCAAGTAGTTGATTTTTCCTCAAATGGAAAATGAAAACATACCCTGTCATATCTTATTGTTATAGAGCTTCAGGAGGCCTTTCCCCCCTGACATGCCCTTCGCTTGTGCTAATTTTTGTTACTTTCCCCCTTTTCCCTGAAAGTTTGTTTGATCCTTTTCAGGTGATTGTAGTCAATCCTGTTGATTTAATGTGTAATTGCTATGGATCTCATGTTCTTCGAAGCTTTCTTTGTCTTTGTAAAGGAGTCCCTGTGGACTCTGCGGAGTTTCATGGAGCAAAGGCATCAAAAATTCTAGCAGAGCGGTTGAATTTGAAAGTATTTCAGTCAGATGAGAATAATTCCCAGCATCTTCAGCAAGGATTTCCAAATTTATTGAAATCCCTTGTATCAGGGATGGTAAAGTGTACAAGAGAAGACATTAAGACCCTACAAGTTGATCAGTATAGCAGTTTGGTTCTGCAGGTATGTCTTCATTGCATTCTGTTATTTTATCTTATTCTCATTTTCTCAACATTATATAGTGTCAGATAAGCAAAAGCAATTTGTATGTGTGGATTCAGTCTCCTTATTACATACTTGACTAGCATAGTCAGGAAGGATTAAGATATATCATCTATTATAGGACCATGCACCTGTATGTTAAGTAGTCAAAGATCATAATTAGTCTTGAAATTCACTCAATAGTGTTAATACTTTATTGAAACTTGATTATTTGAAGTTCACAGGATACACAATTCTTGTTCGTGAAGTAGTTTCTCTTTTAACATGTCAAGTTTTTATCATTGTGCTTGTAGACTCTAACACATACCCTCTATCACATGCGCCTTTAATTTATTTTTTACAGGGAGGGAAAGTGTGTTAATTTATGGGGGTGGATGGATGGATGGGTGTTTGTGGCCATTTGACGAGTTTTCAAATTCTTATCTTTGTCCTTGTGGGCTTTTACGTAATTTGGAATGAGGCATTAAAGTAATGAATCAATTTAAAAATGAGGCATTAAAGTAACGAGTCAATTTAACACTGAACTTTTAGCACTTCTGACTTGGCAGACAGCTCTGAAGCTATTAGCAGGGAATGATCAAGAATTACTGCAAATAATTCCGGTTCTTCTTGGCTGCAAAATGCAAAATTTAGTTGAAGGAAAGTGCATTGACTTGGGCATTGTTCGTGAAACTGTAGATTTGATGAATGAAACTGCATTTAGCCATTTAATGGAAGTAAGCAACTTATTAACAGGATTATATTTTGTTTATTTATTTTATGTTTTTACATGATGATGTGTTTTTCTTTTTCTGTATCAATTGCTTTGTTGATTTATCTGTGTGTGTGAAATGTTACTGCATTTGGAATTGAATCAATGTCATAAAAATGCAATTTTGGAAGACATCTATGTGATTAGCTTCTCAAGGATATGAACCTAAATAACAATGCTATCTTAAATATATTGCTTAGTTAGCCTTCCAAAAAACTAAACTTAAAAAACTTTTGCACCTAATTTCCTTCATATCCTATGTTTCATGTTAGTCCATGAATTTCTGAATGTCATTCTTGTTATCAGTTACTCCCCAAAAGGTATGTCTTCTGTTGATAATTGTTATAGTATCAGCTCTACTAGTTAGAATCCATCTGGACACTGTTCTGGAAGAGGGAACTTCTCTTTTTCTTTTAGTTGAATTCCCTTAATTATGGACAGAAGTGGTCCAACGGTGAAATCTTTTTCTCATTCCTGCTCTAATAATTTCACCATAAGATTCAAAACTGCTGCTGCAGCTGCATTGTCTAAACTCTAAACATTCTTGTGCTTTTGGAAGCACAACTGGATGAACAACAAACAGGTTAAAGAATAGTTGATTTGTCCACACCATCATTTCCTTTTTATGCTCCAGTTAAATCATCTACTATTGCTTTCTGTTCTTTCCTTTTTGTTTCCACAGTGTAGCTTCATTTCCTTCAAATTGCAGGTAATTCTGGAGGTCGCACCTGAAAGCTTGTATAATGAGATGTTCACAAAGCTTTTCAAGAATTCATTGTTTGAGCTTTCATCACATCATTGTGGAAACTTTGTTGTTCAAGCATTAATTTCTCATGCAAGAACAAAGGATCAAGTACGTATTCTAACATTCTACTAATGATACTAGATAGAAGCGTGTGCCTTTTTATATGCTTTACAAGTTTCTAAGCTAATGGTTATCTCTTGAAATGTTTGGATCTAATGCAATGGATACTAGTGTTTGATTTGTGAAATTCTGTTGTTGATATTTATTTGCTCCTTATTGTTTAATTATCTTTAGCTGCTTTTGGAATCTTCTGTGTATGAAAGCGATATCTGGTGCTGGATGTCCTGCTAAGTTCTACTGTTCTCAAAATTGCAAAAACTTTATTCATTTTGTCTGTTAGATGGAGTTGATGTGGGAAGAGCTTGGGTTGAAATTTGAGGATCTTCTTGGAATGGGGAAGTCAGGAGTTATTGCTTCTCTTATTGCTGCATGTCAAAGGCTTCAAACTCATGAATATAAGGTTTAGTAATTGATATCACTCCTTTGACTTGCTCTCTTGTCAGTCTTTACATTTGAGTCTGAAACAGCTTGGCAGTTATGTCATACTGAAACTACTCATCAATGTAAGTCCGCGTTTTGTCTAATCATTGGTGAATTTTTATTCTTTTTTTCAGTGTTGTCAGGCACTGGCTGCTGCAGTTGGTTCAAAAAACGAGTCTTCAAAGTGTATTGTTCCTAGAATACTGTTTCTCGACAGTTACTTCAGCTGTGAAGACAAGTTGACTTGGAACTGGGCAGGTGGTGTTAAGATACAGACCATGGGTTCTCTGATTCTGCAGGCTATTTTTAAATTCCAAAGTGTATGTTGCCTCCCGTGAATGTGTTATATCATTCTGATTTTGTCCAATTAGATTATTGGAATCAGATATATCATGCATGATTAGTAAAGTCATTAGCCATTTTTGCTTGCATTAACTAAACCTAAGTTAATGTCTCTGTGTGCATGTGCACTTACATTGAACTTCTCATCAACAGATTGAATCTTCCAATTAAGATGTGTGTATAGTAATAATAGTGCAATATTTAAAATATTTAAGCTCCACGTTTCAATTTATTGCAGCAAATATTTAAACAGCACTGCTGTTGTAAGTGCAGAAAAATATCTAAATAGCTGGTAGCCTGATACTTAAGCTGATTTTAATCGTCTTTAAAGGAAATCTTTTGAAAGGTGAATTGCCAGATGATTGACTGGTTTAGAGATCTTAGTTTGAATTCTTGAACTGAAGATATTATTCCTTGGAACCTCTCAAGGTAAAACCCTAAATGTCCTGCATGGTGGTGTCTTCAGTTTGCTTATTATATTGGAATGAGGAAGAAGATGTCCTGTTGAGAAATGTGATACTTCAGTTATGTTTATCTGTATCTTGATTGTTTTGGAACTTGACAACTCTTTGGGATGGTGGCTTGACTACTTTCTACAAAAGGGTGAATGGCTGGCTTTCTAATTTTAGCATGCAATATCTTGCCTTCTTGTTACAGGAATGGATACAGCCTTTTATTATGAGTATTACATCCATGGATGCTGTGCATGTCCTTGAGGCTTCTAAAGATGCTGGAGGGGCACGTGTCATTGAAGCATTTCTTGCGTCTGATGCTTCCACAAAGCAGAAGCGCAGATTAGTTGTGAAGTATGTTGAGCTGCTGCTTCAGCAGTTTTGTTTCTTCCAGGAAGTTCTTTTCTGTGCTTGGTTAATTTGGTCTGTGGATAAAATGTGATACCAATGGAACTTGTTTCATGTCGGAACAAAAGAATGGACTTTGCTTTCTGATCAGAACTTTTTTTTCTGCCTTTTTTCTCTATGGCATATAATATCCACTATTCTCCTCCTTTCTGAGATTCCATATTGAACTGTTATTTTGATGCATGTTCAAATATTTATGATTCTATTGTTTCATTCCTGTTAACTACTCTGAAGGTTACGTGGACATTTTGGGGAGCTTGCGATGCACCCATCTGGTTCATTTACTGTTGAAAGGTGCTTCAATGCTGGTAGCCTGTCACTAAGGGAAGCCATAGCATCTGAATTGTTAGCTGTACAAGCTGAACTCTCCAAGACAAAACAAGGCCCTCATCTCCTTAGGAAATTAGATATTGATAGGTAAGTAAATTACAGTATGCTGGTTTGTCAGGCTGAGATTTATTCCTGTATTGCGTCACCGGCTAAATGCAATGCATGTCAAACTCAGTCTAGTTTGGACTTATGTTTGATAGGAAAACAGACTCAAATTTCAGTTGCTCGTTTCATGTTTTAATTTGTTGACTTATCAATTATCTTATTACAGGTTAGATTCATCTGTGTCACATATTAGTTGCTCACACAGTAAAATTATATCTCATCTATGCTACATTCTTAAAGAAATGCTGCTGTTCGTCTTTTGTTTTTCTCATATGTTTCCTCACCTTTGCTTCATCATGACAGATATGCTACCAAACCTGATCAGTGGAGGTCAAAACAAGCATCAAAACAATCAGCTTACAACGAATTCTATTTTGCATTTGGCTCTAGTGAATCCAAATCACCAACAAAGGACAAATTCCTTTCTAATGCTTCTTTGCAGACATCAGACCCCGAAGAATTGAAGAATACAGGGAAAGAGATAGACAGTGATGTCACTTCCACTTCCATGCTTGACGATACCTCAGCAGAGAAAAAGAATAAAAGGAAGAAAAGAAACAAAGATGCAGGGTCTGAAGATGCAGTTGGTTCTAAGAAGGTGATGGAAAATGCAGTCCACAATTTTCTCTCTCAAGGCAGACCAGATAAGAAACGACGCCTAAATGATAGGGCATCATCGAATGCTTCAAAACAGAAACTGAAATTTTGAAGTTGCAGATACCCTGCATTTCTCTGATGCTTTTTATGGTCGCCGGCTTAAGCTGCATCGTGTTACAGCCTGCAACGGGAGAAAAGTTTCCTTGTTTTTGTGTTTACACCATTTTTGTCCTCACTAAGTTGAGATAAATTTTGGGTGTGCCAAGCATTTTATTTACGCTAGAAAATATAAACCTTCCTGGAAAAGTCCAAAATTCTCTTTGCAACCAAGTATTATACCAAAACTTTTGCAGTTTAACAATAGAAATTGACAGAGTATGGTAGCAAAACTGTTAATGCATTATGTGATTCAATACATGTTGCTCCTGAGCTATAACTCTACATTAGCAGACAATGAAACAAAGAAATTCTTTAAACAGAAAAAAAAGGTTAATGTTTTACAGGTCTTGGTATCTGTTGTCTTCTACTTCTTTCTCCTTGTAATGGAGGGTTGGACCTGGTGCAAAAAACATTGTATCTAAGTCACAACTATCGGGAAAGCCGCGATTGGCAGAATAGGAGGAACTGTTGATGGGAATGCGAAAATTTACTTGTTCTGTATAGGATTTGAAGTGCTTGGAGGTATTCTCCGAAAGCTGGAATCAACCTGTGTACGAGGAATGTTCTTGTCAGCTTGCAAATCTCCAAGAGCTTGAGAAGATGAAGCCTTCCCTGACACTGGCCACGATTGAGGGTGTCGAATTGGTCGAGCTTCTGCTTGAGCTGTATTACCCCAAGAAGACAGGAGTAGTGAAAGTAGAAGAGTAAGAACTGTTAGTGCTAGAGTGTAGGCCTTCATGGCGGTGCTAATTAACTGTAAGAATTTTTGTTGCTTAATAACTGAAAATGATTAAGACAGGATTGTTCGATCCGAACTCGGCTTGCTTATAAACTCGTAACAATCTAATTGGGATCTGCTCCCCAACGAGATCATGTGCTCTACTTTGACAGTTTGACTGTTACATGTTGGAAAGTCTGACCTGCTGATTTGGTAAACAGTGATTTGTTTTCAGAGAGGTCATGTGATCAGGCACGTGATTTAACTATTATTTCTTGGGGAACTAAAAGGAATCGGTTTTATACTGTCAAATGTTGGGTCTGTCTGGTTATTAAAGTTCAAAAAATTACAGGTAACAGCTGTTCGAAGAAAAAACTGCAATATTCGATATACTAAATTCCAGCGGCCCTAGTTTCTCCTCTAGTCAAAGTAATCAGACCTTGGTACTAGGAGGGGTGACAATTTCATTAACAAATGTGAGAGTTATTTTTTTTTTCATATATATACAACAATATATAATATTTTCTCATCTCATAAATTTTATTTTCAAATTCAAATATGAAACTTTTAAAGTAAAATTTTAAGTGTTATGTCAGCATGATTCTTTTTATCATTGAACCTAAGTACTTTTTCATTAACATATTAACTATTTCAATCTCGTTTGATTCATATACAAATTTGGTGGTTTGTTCACTTGCCTAATAAAGAATTATACGTTATGTTTTCTGTTTTAGCAAAACTTGGTGGTGGAATAGTGGCTAATGACAACCGACCATGATTTGATTGGGTATTTGCTTAGAATATTATCAAGGTGCAGGATAAGATTTCTTCAAGACTCCTTTTAATAATGTTATGCTGTTGTTGACCAAATGGCCGTTCAAATATTTCAAGGGCATCTATAAATATCTTAAAGAAGCAACTGCTTCCATTAGTTTACTCCTGTTTTCCACACCAATCAGCTTTAACACCCTTTAAAAAGAATGGCTTGGGATTCCTTGGACTTCATTTCCATGATGTTGAACTTTGTATTCAAACCTAGGTAGTTGGTTTTTTGCCTTGCTCAATAAGCAGGCTGTGAGGCTGATGCCTACCTACACCGTAAACACTTTGAATTTCAATAAATAAATTGCTAAAAATAAAGTTGTATAGAAGGAAAGACTTGGTAAGAAAGATGTTTCCGAACAAATACGGAAAAAGAAGTTGCTAAAATGGATATATCTATGCATATTGCCAAAATAGCCCATTGATTATTTCCGCACTAACCCAAATAAAAATGCTTTTATGAAGGCTGATAATGTCTTTTAACAAACTAACAAAAGGGAGGAAAAAAAAAAAGAAGTAAAATCCCCGCCATCAGTCAATCTCGAACCCTTATTGGGAGGAAAAGGACGAGGCAGCAGAACTGGTAGTACGCTACAGTACTAGCCTATAAAGCAAAGCCAATCACGAAGCGTCAAAAATAACTGTCCTCTCTCGCTTTCTCTCTCCGTTGGATTTACTCTCTAATCTCTCTCTCTTTCCTTCTCTTATTCTAATTCTAATTCAGTTTCTGTTCTCGTTTGTATCATAAGATAACCGCCTCGATCCCCAGGTAATTCTCATATTCTTCTTTTTTAAAAAAAAAAAAAATATTTTCTCGTTAATTTCGGTTGATTTTTTTTTCCATTTTGGAATCATTTATTTGAAGCTTTTGTTCGTTGGATTTCAGTATTGTCAGATCGATCTCTTTTCTGGTTCTTTTCTCTTACCCTTTTGGGGGGTGGGGGTTTAAATTGGTGGATCCTTGTTTAGAATTTGACTTTAAATTTAGTTTAATTGATCATCAAAGTTAATCATTCAATCAATTTCTGTTTGAATAGGGTTGTTAATTTCTCTGTCAATTAATCGGTAATGATTTTGGTAATTTAATTTCCAGGTCACACTATTTATAAGAAGAAGTTGAAAATTGGAGCCCTAAGGTAATATTTTACTTAGCTTAAATTATGTACTGTATAATCTTTGTTTTGTCATTAATCAGTTGTTAATTAAAGCAGTTCAAGAAAGACAAATGTATGTTGCTTTTTTTTTTAGTTATTCTCGTGATTCTTGATTTCTAGCTCGTCAAAGTCATTTGGAATTTTCTAGGTATTGGTCTCAATAATTATTACTGGATCATCATTCTCTTAATAAGCTTTGCCTGCTAATATGCATCTTTCAGTAGAGGATTTCAGGCTGATGATTCTGGAATTTATTATATTGTCTTGTGTTTTATAAATTGTCTTCTTATTTTGCTCTATTTTCTGTCAGAGAATAATTGCAATTTAAAGGGTGAAGGAACAAAGCAGCAGGTAGGGTTTTTTTTGGTTGTTGTGGCCGAGACTGCTTTTAATTTGTGAGGAATGGCAGAGAAATCTTGTGTTAAGCGCCTTCAGAAGGAATATAGAGCACTGTGTAAAGTATGTTTTCTACTTGTATTTCCTATGCCTTTTTATTATGACCTGTGCTTTTATTTGAATTGTCTGAACCCTGGAATGCTTAGCTGTTGTGGAATGCTTGTTAACATTAGTTTGTTGACTTCTCATTTCAATGCAATTTTATGGTACTTATGTGTTTCTATGGTTTATAAACTATTCTTTCAATACAAGGAAAAATTTATACCTCTGGTAACCTCTGTACAAAGCTTGTTACTGCCAAGCTTGCATCAATAGTGAATAGACTGTGAATTTTGTGGTGTATTATATGATAGCCTAATGGCTGATTTGATTGGTTTATTAATAGCAATTATGTTTAAGTTCCATTGAAAAAGAAAACCACTTGGATATCTTTTGAGTACTTTCACTATTTAATTGGATGTTATTTAGAAAATATATTGAATGTAGTAGGAGAAGTTGTTGTAACTTCATTCAATTTTCTTCTTGGATAATTTTAACACTTATTCTATGAACTTGTAGGAACCAGTTTCTCATGTGGTTGCCCGTCCATCCCCAAATGACATTCTTGAGTGGCGTAAGTGTATTACATTTTTTTTATCTCCTTTATTTAGATAAGGCTCTGCAATCATTACATGAAAACACCTTCCGTAATAATTAAGAATTTGTTTGCTATGCTAGTTTTTATTATCCTTTTAAAGGCAGGAAAAGAGTGATTGTTTTCAAATTTTTCAATGCTGTTGAAGAGTGGCTCATGGATGTTTAACCTGACTGTTGGTCATTTTATGTATTAGGATGTCTGTTAAGATGTAAGTGTATAAAGCTTCCTGCTACAGCTATATCTAATAATCTTGTCCAATTACCTTGGAAGGAATTTGAAGTGAATCTTAAATTGGTTAGTTAATTTTTGGCTGTTGCTAGTAATGATGAGGACATGGCATATTTCTACTACCATGCAATTACATGATAAAATTGGATTGCTTCCTGGATAACATTCATGCTTGGCTTGGAATTCTAGCTTCGCTTGTCTTTTTGCCCTGAAATGGGGTGGCAACACTTGATTGATAATGATTGATTCTTACGATTTTCTTTTCTAAGTCTTATTATTGATTTAGTTGGTGTTTTGAACATCTAATATATCCTTCACTTCAACGTTTCAGATTATGTGCTGGAGGGGAGTGAAGGAACACCTTTTGCAGGTTGGCTAGTTTACCCCGTGATAGCTTGTTGGTTATTTTTATCTAGCTCATTTTAGACTCTGGAAGAAGTTATCTGATATTGTAATTTGAATTTTTTTTATTTTTTTAATATATATATTTGGTTTGGTAAGGTGGGTATTACTATGGAAAGATCAAGTTCCCTCCAGAGTATCCCTACAAACCTCCTGGAATCACGTATGCACTTTCTTGCTGTTTTGACCTTTTCAAAATTTATGATAAGAAACACACGGCTCTTTCTTACGTCAAAAAACATTTTTCTTCCATGTAGCATGATTACCCCCAATGGACGGTTTATGACACAGAAGAAAATATGCTTGTCCATGAGTGATTGTAAGTTTTTTGTAGAATAATTTAGAGATTCCTGTTTTATTTATGTCTCTAATAATTGGTTTCGTGTTAACCTTGGTCCTATTCTTTTGCAGTTCATCCAGAAAGTTGGAATCCTATGTGGTCTGTGTCAAGGTATGAGGAATCAGTCTAATTGCAAGTTTTTTTTTTGTTTGCACCATTTTTTAAAAACTCACCTGTGACAGGATGCTGTTGACATGTAAAACAGTTGTTAAAGATTTTATTTGCTTCTTTAGCCCTTGAAGCTAATATTTTTTCTGTTTAATAATGCAGCATACTCACAGGGCTTCTCTCTTTCATGGTGAGTGTTTGTGAAGAATGCAGTTTTGTTAAGTTGTGGATACTTCTTGCTTCCTTTGGGAATATGCCTTTATGCCAGGCTGCTTTTTTTCTTGTGTAGATGGATAACAGTCCTACCACCGGCAGTGTGAGCACTACTGCTGCTGAGAAGCAACGTCTGGCAAAGGCATCCCTTGCTTTTAATTGTAAGAAGTAAGTTAATTGCTTCATCTGCACTGATTTATTTTTTTAATTTTCCTTTTTTGAGGAGTTAGGGCTCTCCAAATTTGTTTCCCCTTTTTGCTGCCTCTATGATAATGCTTTGGGTCAGTTGATTGTTGTCCTGTTGAAGTAATGTATTGGCATCAGTTGGATTCTGCGTTGTTTTAGCTAAAAGATAAACTTTGCACAGTTACACCTGATGTTAGCAGTGTTGCGTTGCTTAGGTTGTTTGCTTCTAGCTAAAATCTCTACACAATTTCAATTGTACCTCCTCCTTTTTTCCTTTTTTATTTATTTTTTGAACAGCAGGTGGGCAGTTACTATTAGGAAAATGTTTCTTCAATTTTACATCTGATGTCCTTTTATGGCAGCCCAACATTCAGAAAATTGTTTCCAGAGTATGTGGATAAGTACAACAAGCAGCAGCAGCAGCTTGTTTCAGAGCATTTATCACCAGAATCAACCAAAGAAGAAAATTTGAAACCTGAGGGAGAAAAACGTGTTAAGTCTTCAGTGGAGGATGGTAAAAGAGTAGATCCCCTGAGGGATACAAGAAGAAACAGAAAACAGTCATTCCCAACGTGGATGATGTTGTTGCTAGTTTCCATCTTTGGCATTGTAATGGCATTGCCGCTGCTTCAACTTTGATACCGAGGCACAAGGTATGGAAAAAGAATGTAGTGGTTAGTGATTATACCGTTTCTAGTTGAGGGAATCATTTTCAATGCTCCTTAGGCTTGTCGTGTACTTGAAAGAATTGTATAGGGAGTTTGATTCCAAGGAGAGTCAGTTGGATCTTGACTGATGTTTCTCCTATGTTCAGTTCATGTTGGTAGTTTGCCTATTGACACATGGAAACATTACGTGCCTGTAATGTTGATCGTATTTTAGTTGGAGTCTGTTGGTCACTCTGGTTTTACATTTTCTTCTCTCTCTCTCTCTCTCTCTCTCTCTAACGCATACCCAAGGTCGTGGACTCAATCACTCACAATTCATGGACTGAATACAAAAGATTTGGCTTCGCTGTGAAAATTGTGAACTTGTCCGGCACGAAGCCAACCAATGGACCAACTTTGCGAGAGAGGACGTGTTAAAGAACCATAAGCTTTTCTTAATAGTGATTTGAGCTGTTATGATGTAAAACGGTAGGGGCAGTATACCTTTTTTTTAAAAAAATTTTGGCCCTTACTTTTATTCTTTCTTCTTCTTCTTCAAGTCGTAAACCACCATTTTACCGTTGCTGTAATATGAATGAATGAACTTTAAGTTTCATCCTCTTTAATATACTTTGTAGCCAGTAGCCTAGCACACTATACTTACCAAATCGTATGTCAATACAGTAATTAATATGGATATCGCTTATTACGGTATTTTCATCATAACATGGGCATTGTTTTTCTTGTCACAAGCTACAAGCATGGTATCCCGCTCCCTGGTTTCGGGGCACTTGGAACTTTAGTGCCTGTCCAGTTGGCAATTCCCTCCATTGGAGCCCCCAGAAAAAGCGCCGCAAATTAAGCATAAATTCTTCTAATTATCCCCATGACAGAATAAAGTACACTTTCTGTTATTTTTAATAATAATAATTGTTGTTTTCTCATGATCGTGGAGTATATATTTTGTTTTGTAGCTCGGGTAATGAATAATTGGCCTCAACCGACCTACAATTGTTTCTGCAAATCATGGCATCATCAGATATTTTCTCCTGACTTTCAGTTTACATGGTTTCTTTCTACCTACCAAGACTTGCTCCTCGTTGCTTGCTTCCTTAGGATGGTTTACTCATAAAATGTTAATGTAACTATACAAGTGAGGTACGGTGTATAAGCCCTGTAACAGTGACAGCTGTTTCAGGTGTAATCAAATGTAAATATCTGTGTCAAAATTTACCTCTCTTTACCACAAAACACTTTACAACTGCCTTGATGAGTACGTTTAATTTTGAGCAAAGACATAATGATTTTATTCCTTCCCATGGGCCATTTATCTTTGCTTCTTTGGTTAAAAAGTTGGTTAGCTGGCTAGATACCTGCTGATTTTCGAGCATCACTTTTGGTATTCCTTAACAGATTACAGAATTGAATATGAGGGAGAAATTCACCAGGCTATCTACCCCACTGCTGTACTTTAACATAGCAAACGTACGTAAAAGCTTCTACCATTTCAACTACCAAAACCCTTTTTCAAGTTCCACAAATCTCCTATTTTAGCGTTTGATGGGTTTTCAGTCTGGTGGTTGGCCCCTTGCCTTGTATACTCCATTAGATGAAATCATTCGAGTGGTTGGAATTTAAAACATCATTGCCTTCATTTCTCAACTGAAGCAATACCACTCTGAATTTCATTTCACCTTCTGTCTCTTCATATTACAAGTTGTATTTAGTACTTTAGCTACCTTGTTTTCTAAACCAGCTAGCACCTCTTTCATTGTGGAGCATTTATTTATGCTATAACATCAAACTGTAAAGCAGGTTTCAGATGATCTAAATGAATCGATGCCCTTTTCTTTTAAGGTGGTTTTTCTTTTCTTTTCTATTATTTCTGCTAACTTTATTTGATAACCTGTAGGAAACCATGAGCAAATCTCCAGGACATCCGAAACATGAGACAAGTGATTATGCTTGCTATGAATTTGATCCTCAGGTGAACTTTTCACAGGTAAATGCAACACCTTCGTTCTTTTTGCATCTCTCCCATTTTCTCTTCGTGACTTACCTTCCAAGGATCTTATAATGGAATATATTTTATATTTATATACTTTTGGCAGCAAAATTACCCTGATTTTAACAGACAAAGTACCATCTTATTTGTTATTAATGAACAAAGACAAATTTGTGAGACAAATGTGTTCAGACTCTGATGCTTCAGCATCAGCGCTCCTATAAGGATTTTTGTGGGTTAGGTTTTCTGCCAATAGAAGTTACCATGTATGGTAAGTTATATCTGATTTTGGCTTTGATCACTGTGATCAGTTTCTAGAAGAAGCTAGACAACATGCAAGAGACATAAACTTCCAGCGGTCATCTTCATGTTCAGAGGAAGTGGGAAAAAAAAGAGGAGAGAAAAAGAGCAAGAAATCATGGAAGAATTCTCTCTTCTCATGGTGGAAAATTGACAGAAAGAGCAAACCTAGTCCAGATCCAGTCGATGGTCTTAATATTTCCAAGCCAACTAAAGGCTATGGTTCTGGTCCATTATGCGGAACTGCCAGGGGAGTCGATACACGGCGCCGGCGTCCTTCATCAGGGCCAGTCTCCATCCTTTTCCACCCCACAAGGAAAGTAGAGAGTGAGGTACCTTATGTGTGTCTTGACCAGCCTAACGACCCTTATCAAATCAACGCCTATGGACCTGTCTATTTGGTGACATAGTGTATCTCCCGGGGCTTCGGCATTAGTTTAGCCAAGAAAAAGGTGCCCCACCTGGCAAATGTGGGGAATTTGTAACAGAAACCATAGCGTATTATAATTAATGAGGTAGTAATTAGATATCAATAATCTGAATCTCAGTTCTCATAGGTATATAGTGGGGCATTTAACAGAAGAGGCCCGTAACTAGACGCAGCGCTATTAGTTAATTCGAGTGATAAGAGATTTAAGTCGTAAAAGTGATCCATGTACTCATTGAACTTGGATTTCATTTCTGTCTTCCTTACTCCATTGTATTTTAATCCCCTTCTCATGTTTGTCTGTCTTAAAGTCTCAATGATGGTTATACGTTTCTGTGTTCAATAATTAAAGATGCTTACAAGTCCTCGAAGCCATGCATTGTATAAGCAAGGAATTGAAATGAATTATCAAGTCTATGATTCTAATGTCCACCGGAAATTTAATCTTATTAATGACCATTTTTGTTCATGAAGAACTAGGAAGGTATCACTCCTAAAACAGGAAAAGGTTAGCTAACCTTAACCCTGATTGTCACCACATGCCACTATACCAGTCAAAAAGGCAATAGTGAAAAGAAAGAACAGGGGAAGACACAAGAACAAATTGAAATAAAAGCGGTCCCCTGCCTGAGGGTTGCCAAGCGATAACTTGCATGAGGTTTTGCCTTCTATCTGGATTTGGCGATTTCATGTTACAGTTAGTATTGTGTGGTGAGCCAGATTTCTCACAGAGAAGGCCTTCCTATCATGCACACCTGGCTTCTGCTGCTTAAAAAGAGCATCATGGGGAACACTTCTCACAAAGTCAATTTCATTTCTCAAATCTGGCCAGTAGCTAGATATTCTCCTTAAATGGTCCTATTAGCTTGATATACATAAGGAGCAGTTGGGTCTTAGGCTAACCCACGCTAATCACTTTGTTTTCAGCTATTTTACCTGATCGCTAGAGGAACGCAAGATGGAGTGAAGACTAAAGACCTTGATCATGTCCATGAAACGGAAATATTCCTTGAATGATGCACTCTCAAGACTCAATATGCATGATTCTTGTACACAATTAGAAGGGAAATTTACCTAGTGTTGTAATTCAAAATAGCATTAAGAGATGTTTGTATAAGTCTACTAGAATGCGGCATTTGACATGGTGCTTCATTGAGTTTCTAGTCTGCTTTCAAAACCTTATTCCACAAAACCAGGCATTGGTTGTTGTAAGCCCTCGGTCTATAACCTAAACCAATAGCAGCAATATGCTATTTCCCAACTATTTGCGCTACATAACCAAACCTAAGGTCTAGGCTTGAGCAATTAATCATGTGAACCATATGCTTGTGCTCTAGGCCTCCCATTTTCATTATTTTTCATTCCTTGCAACTGAAGGCAACTTGATTTTCAAAGCAAATGGGCAAGGGATTTGGTCTGAGATAGTGATCAATTTGAAATAAGAATATTATTCAATCAGGAAAGGTCATTGGTTTAGACTTATCAATGCCTAAAGGATTGTCCATGCTCTAGAGGCCGGCGAATTTGTGTTTTTTAAACTGGTTCAAAAAGAGGTGACTAGAAGGTAGAATTTAAATAGGTTGTAAGCTAAGACCTCCGAGTAAATCAATGCATCAACTGAAATTAAGTTTTGTAACTAAATTTATTGGATGATATATTTCAAGCATGTTTGAAATTGATGCAGTTCAATTCTATGCACAGTAGTACTATCAAGAAATCAATAACAAACAAACAAGTTAATCGTAAGGCACGATAAGCAACAAAAATGTTGAGGAGTTGGATTAATAGCTTCACAATAGATGAATCCAGATTGAAACAAAGTCTTCTGCAGAAGAAGGAATTGTTTCTGATACATATATTGTAGGAGAAGATAGATTCTTTCACCTCCGTGATGCAGAGAAGCCCATTCTCTCCAGATACATCACCTATTTCAAACATTTGCTCGAAACCTGTTTCAGCTACGGAATTACCAACATCTTGTACAAGAGACTCAATGCCTCAAAATGCCCAACTCATATCATTGAGCAAAACCATTGTTTCCCAAGAGAACCCCACAAATTCTCAAGGATGGTAAGAATCCAATTGATCATCTCCAACCATTACTGCCTGGATAATGTAAAATAGATATTCAGGTAAATCAGCTCCTTATATTCAACCATCTACTGAGTAACTTCAAACATCAACAGAACTGCTTCCTGAACTACTAGGAGCCACCCTTTTTTCCCTGCTTAAAAGCCTCTTCAAAGACCTCAATCTTGTAGGCATTGGAGACTTTGATTCCTCCTCTGGGAAATTCTCATTCACATTCGTAGGAACATCAATCACCAACATCCCTTCTTGCCTACCACTACCAGATGCCACGGAAGACGAAGCAAAAGAACCAGAAACAGAAGCAGAAGCAGATGCACCCTCTTCCAAAGAGGCACCGCCGCTGCTAACCTGAGTCTGATTACCCCAAAACAACACATTAGTCGGAAAACTAGGGGAATCTGTTGAATGTCCAGAAGCCAAACCATCCTGTGGAGACTGAACATGACCATTAACATTAGCATTAACTTCATCTCCTGACGTAACAGAACCTGAATTCTCAACCTCAACAGCAGCAACAGGATTTCTACAAAGAGGACAAGTAGAGTGTGATTGAAACCACATATCAATACAATCAACATGGAAACCGTGGTTGCATTTAGGAAGCAGCCTAGCTTTCTCTCCTTCTACAAGCTCAGACAAGCAAACGGCACATTCAAGTCCATCTTTGAACTCTTCTTGGCGAAACATTAACACAGGAAGCGAAGCAAGAATAGTGGGATCAAGGCCTTTAGTTGCACGTAGAGGATGAGCAGTGTCTTGCCCCGGAGCAAAGACAAAACGGCGTCGGTTGCGGCGTGAAGGAGGAGGAGCCGATTCTTCAATGCGCCACCAAAACCATTTAGCATAAAGATGAAGAAAAAGAACAAAAACCACCACTAAGAAGAGAACAATTATGGCTATGACCATGATCTTCCCTGTTATTGCCACTGCTGTTGATTCATCAAAACCGGGCTTATCCATCGCTTGCAGACGAGAAAGCTTTTAAGTTGTCAGGAAATGAGAGTACCCAGATGAGACTTTGAGTGAAATTCTGCAAAAAGATTAGATCTTTATACTTTTATGAGAAAAGAAATGAGAGCTAACTAGATAAGAAACAGTCAAGAATTGCAGACTCAAGTGGGATTTTTGTTTCCTGAGGAAATGAGGGATAACCGGATGAGAGAAGGTTTAAAATTTCATAACCCAACTGGGGTTTAACATCTAAAGAAAGCAACCAAACAAGTACAAAGAAATGGAAGGAAATGAGGGGAACCCAGATGAGAAAATGCGCTTAAATTCTAAAAACAATATGGGTTTTTCCCCTTCTTAAAAGGAGGCAATGAGAAGAAATTTGGACAGGTGGGTTTTAAAAGTGGACGGAAAATGTAGATACAAGTTGGAAGAGAATTCAAAGAAGAGATCCCGAAAGAAAATGTCCACTTTGAGGACTTTGACATAGAAAGAATCAAAGAAAGAGAGATTTTTTTGGACTTTGCGATTGAGAGAGGTTGGGGAGGGGGGTTGAGCTGCAACAAGTGAAGAAGATGACGCTACTGGGGTCCAACTTTCTGACTCCTGCTACGGCCTTTAACATAGCCATAGGCTGCGTATGGGACACTAGTATTCTACTACTACTTGTTTTGTTTTTCTTCATTTTGTAAACTTTTTATTCCGCATTTCAACATTAATAGATTAATCCTAAAATTAGAATAGACCCTGTCGTTATCAAAGCTTTGATCCCATTTTAAAGAAATTTCTTGCCACTAAATGACAACCCAAGTTTCAAAGTTTCCAAATCCTTGATCTTGTTGTGTCGCTACTCAAGACATTTGTTTTCAAAATTTTGCAGTTTAGATGGTGATCAACTACTCGTCTATTTTTTGGAACAACCCAAGGTGAAATTTCACCTCAATTACTGGATTTGACATATGGTCATCCTCCCACCTACAAAATTTCCATCCTGTATGTACTTGTCAATTACTATCACACCTTTCAACTTGGTACTCTCCTGTCAATGCAGCCACACACAAATGAAAAGTTCCCTTCCCAACCCAGCTTCTGGGAAACAGCCTCTAGACTTACGACTTGGTCTTTTTCCTTACCTCGTTTCTTTTTTAGGTAATCAAATAACTACCTTTGCTTTCATCAATCTGAGCTCACATTCCTCCCTCGCTGCCTCGTTTGCTCAAATCCAATCATTCTTTCTTAAAACAGTAAAAACATCTTTTAATCATATTTTGACATATGTGTGCCTCTAAGAAATCTGTATCCAATATGAAAGAAAGTTGATTGTGAAAATGTAAATCAATTGATAAAACTTTCCCTTAATGATTAAGTATAGGAAGTATCTACAATCAAATTCCAAATGGAGGATATAGAATATGGGAGAAGCCGACCCAATGTTGTGTACACCAACCATTGAACTTTACAAAGGGCGAGCCAAAAACAGAAAGGGAAACAGTTCCTGTAGTATTAAAGAAATAGCGTCCACAAATTTTACAGGCAAAGCTATGGTATGCATTTTTGTCTATGAACAAAGAAATGCTGACTTTGATTGTGGCCTTGACTGGTAAAAAGATTATGCAATTGACCCAAGCAATGGCACAGCATTACAAAGAATCTTGAGATCACATTGCAACTGTTTTTTGTCTTCTCTTTCACAGAAGGATGGAACGTTGGTGCTCCATACCTAACAACCTTAAACCCCAACTTGAGGTTCAAGTCTTGACTCCTGACCCATGACCCCCCGGCCCGCTCACAGCTCATTTAATCGCGTGTCTTAAGCATTTGAACCATTTAATTAGAGGGGGTAAGATGAATTTGAACCCAATGCACTTTGTTTGAAAAAAATTCGAATATGATTAAATCTGAATTTATTAAAAGATCAAAAATTTGAATAGGAAATAATTCGAAATTAAAATCAATTGGGATTTATTATTAGAAATATAAAATTTAATTATCACTTTTATTTTTAAACGAAATCTAAAACAATTTAAATTTCAAAATGATTCGAATTTAAATATTGATTCAATTCAAATTCATTGATTTATCATATCTAAAAGACAATAATAATTAGGTCTAAATTAACACCAATTTTAAGATTTTTATTTGGGGTGACATTAAAGATTAAAAAGCAAACCCCAAAATTCAGCTCCGATTATGGACTAATGAATACCAAGGGCAGTGGTGCACATTTTCAAACACTGTTTAATCAGTCAGTGGTGGACAGCATCGGTGAATAATTTTAACCAATGGAATAACTACATGAAACTTGCTTTTGTAAGGTCATCTATAGCCTCATAGCCGACAATTTTTCACATGGGTTACCCAATTAATCAAATCTTTAATTTCTACTTTTTTAGAAAAAAACAAAACAAAACACACAAGTCTCAAGAGCAGTAATCCTTTGATCCTTGATTACCTTGGCCCCAAAATACCGCTGATTGTGCACCCGCTTTTCAACATTCGGAGTAAATAGAAATTGACTTGACATGTTGTCCCACCAACGGGTTGGTTTCAACTGAAACTCAACCAAAAATCAAACATGTTTTAGCCCAACCTTACAATATTCCAATTCAACTACACATTTTTATCACTTCCCGGATTCAAAGTGAAAACAGAATTCATTATGATTCGGTTTGATTTATTTTTATTTTTTTACAATTTTATAAAAAATATAAATCAAATGAAACTTATATTAACATCTTTTCCCATTTTTTTTTTATCAAACTTATTCTTTTAAACGTGGGCTGCCACATGTCAAGGTGAAAGTTTTTTATGCTTAAAGCTAATAATTTGTCGATAACGTTATTAACATAATTCTATGCATCTCAAATGATTTTTATAGAATTTAATTATTACGATCATAGAATTTATATAATACAGTAATCAAATATGAACTTTTATTCAATCATTTTTTGTTGTTAAATTTAAAAATAAGAATTCCGGTTGCGATTTTAATTATGTGATTCATATTGTTTGCATAATTGTACAGAACTTGGACCGTTTATAATAATTCTGTGCTCGATGAACAATTGTTACATGACAACTATTTTTGTGGCTTGGTGTTGATGCTAAAGCAATCATGTTGCCCTTGGGTGATAAAATTACAAAGGAAATAAACAATTTTCACCAATGGGACCGCAAAACAATCAAGTTCCAAAATCATTCAGCCTTTTGAATATTCATTAGTTTTTGCAAGACCGAACTGTAATGTAAGCTTTTGCAATTTACTTGCATTTTAACCGCTGTTCCCACATTGAAACAATATTGTTCGCATGATTTTGCCACAATTTTGGGCTTTCAGTTTACATTCTTGAATACTCGCAGAAAACGAAAAGTCAAAAAAATAAGGTTAGACAAAATGATGAACAGGGAATGATGTTTTGTCCTCATGATGGCCTATCGATGGCATCAAGTGGTAAAAGCCATCGAAACATATAGACGTGGATGAATTGTGAGCGTTGATTATTCTTTTTTCTCGTGGTTGGGGAGTGTGGGGGGGGGGGCTGGCTGCTTTTGAGAAAGTTCATGGAAAAAACAGGCCTAATATTCCATAGGGATTGATTTGCCCTAGTGAAAATCAGCAGCTCTGCTTTACTTTTAACTTGTAGCTTTCGTGTTTTAAGGTTTCAAAACCCACCGTTTTACATCATGAAAAAAACAGATTATCCTATACTAGTTTTGTTCAATTCTTAGAGGCATCATTAAAAAACAAAAAGGAATAAAGAAAAGAAAATTTTACTCAAGTAAAATTCATAAATCGGACTGGTAAGATCAAGAGGAAAACTTTGAGAATCTGTTCAAAGGAACCAACTGGTTAAAAATAGAATATGTAAGCGTATAATCTTAGATAATAAAATTCGAGTTATAACACTCTTTTAGGTTTGATTTATAATACTAGTACTAATAATAGTTTGGCATTCATAAATTGAAATTATTAGTCTTTAGCCACGGGCTGCGTTACTTGTAGTTTGGTGCAATTTTAGTTCTTTTTGGTTATGTTTGGCCTACTGCGAGCTGTCGTGCATGGGATTGATTAGTTCTGTAAGGTCCCATTCATGAGCCAAGGCCGCATACAACTTCAAGCAAATTGAGTCATTGAGGTTTCAAAGGGATGGTCTCCAACTTAATTTGAGTCACGTGAAGAATGTGAATGGAAGTTCTAGTAAAGATTTCGGAATCTCAATAATTATTGGGTATAAAACATAACAATCAATTACTTTTTTAATTTAAAAAAGATAATTTAAAATCCTATTTTTTATATATAAAAATGTATATACTTATCATTGTATTAAATATTTATAAATAAAAACATATATTATTACCTCTTTTTAGAAAGATTAGAATTGAAAAGTCGGGTCATTTTCTTTGAATTCTGTTGACACGTGCCCAACATCCCACAGACAGAAAGAAAACCGAAGACACATTGTAGGAGATTGGATTGGATTGGCTATGGGCTGATAGTTCAATTCAAAGTTGGGTTTTGCTTCGTACCCAATGCCTTTTGTTGTCTCACGGTGTCATGTCATAAACCTTTGGTTTTGTAACAAGTGGATAAGCGGGATCCATAGACTGAACCAACGTGATTTTATGGTATCTGTCATTTCATTAGGTAATGGCTTGAGGTTGGGGAAGAGGGGCCAGGCCGGGGGCCGCCTAGCCGGCCACCACAGCCATATCTACCTATGTCCACATCTTAGACTTTGTGGTCAGCCAAAATTTAAGAAAACAAGGTTGTATCGCTCATAAATTACAGCTTAATTTCACTTTAAATGTTTAACTATCCGTTTCCATTAGGCAATGCCTGCAGCTAGAAACGAGTGATACTTTAAATCTTAATCCTTCTATTGGGCATTAATTCGCATTTGTTTTAGTACTTTTTTTTTAATCTTTTGATTTAATTCAACCCCTTTTTTTTTTTTTGCAACACCAACAGAATTTTAAGTATGGAAACTCCCAATGGGTGAGTGCCGATACAATGTTAAAATAATTAAATGTCATAAATAAATATTAAGTGTTATTTTTTGACCAATAATCTACAACAATGAAGAATAAAAATATCTTTTCATTTACCATCTCTATTTACATGTTCATATTCAAGTTTAAGATTTGAAAAAACCCTCCTTAAGCCCCAGTGCAAGGTATCGAAACATGATATTCGTCCCAAGGAGCAAAATGAAGTTATATTTCTCTTTTACTACCAGTCTAGTTAAGGATATGCAAATGATTATTTTGATTAATTTAATTTTATATATTTAATAATTGAATTAATTAAATTTATATTTAAAAATAATCGACATCAAATTAATTTGACTAATTCAGTTCAGTGTTTAAAAATCAAATTTGATAAATATTTTATTTATATATATATTTATATTATATTTTTTAATAAATTAATATTATAAAAATATTAAAAATAATCATAATAAATTATAATAAATAAGATACATACTCGTATAATAAGAGGAACTAAAGAGAAAAAGAAATTAAGTTTAAGATTCCACATCATACCTCAATTAATTTGATTAGAAATTTTTCTAATCAAAATCAAACTAAATTAATTTTAATAACTGAATTATCTAAAAAACAAAACTAATCAAATAAAAAAACTGAACTTATTTCAATTTGGTTCGATTATTCGATTCGGTTTATATTTATTCACCCATTAAAGTCTACCAGCGAAGAAAGAGAGAGGAGAAAAAACCAAGAAAGAATCCAAAAAGCAAACTGAGTATTCCTTCTTTCCCTTACATCATTGGGACAAAAGAATTGATGATTCCGATAAGATAAACCCGTAACCTTTTGGCAGCAAACAATCAACTAACTAATGGAATCATATCTCGGCCTACCATGTTGTAAACAAAAGAATTTATACAGGTATCTGTTTTTCCCTCCTTTAAGAAGAACCCATCAAAGAATGGATCATCGATCCTTTGCCGGCCAGTTAGCTAACTTCATTAAATATACCCAAAGCTCTCACAAACTGCCGACGTAAGCTCCAAAGAAAGAGGATTCTCAATCCATTCACTGATTGTTGTAGCAAAGGAAAGCAAGAAAGAACAGAGAAAGTTCCGATGAGGGGCTACGTTAATCCTGCAGAGAGGGCAAGTTGGACGAACTTTGAGCCAGGCATCAATGCAGTGAACATGAAAACTATGGTGGCATATGGGTAGCGCCCGGAGTTTGTCCCCTTTAGAGACCTTGCTAAGGCACACCACGCAATCAATTTCGTGGCTGCTGCTTCCTTGTCCAAACCGTTGCTTTAACCATTTGCTGTAAACACGGAGGCAGATGATAACGAGGACAGCCATGAAAACCAAGATGATTGGAAGCATCTTGGCTGAATATTTTCGATGGAATTCTGGGATCCCTTATGATCTCTGCACAGCTTCAAATTCAAGCAAGTTGTTTTAGTCGGTTGTTAGGGGGATAAGAAAAGAAATCGCGCAGGAATTTGTTTGGTCTGGCCCGAGTCAAACTTTATGATCTTATTTCTTGGACAGAAAAGCCAGCGGCGCTGCCTGCTTCCGTGTATACTTGCAAGTGGCCAATACGGAAACTGGCTGGAAAGAGGCTGAGGTGGAAACTCCTGACCCTAATCTTATATTCGTTGAAGATTTATTCCAATTCCCGGCTTTGACAAATTAAAACTTGTCCGCTATCAACAGTAGGACCAGATGTTCAGTCAGAGAACTCCAGCAATTAGTTAAATGACCAAATCATAAAAGCCAAAGCTTAATACTGAAAACGTGCAAAATTGGCGTCTTCCTTGATTGCTGAGGCATGAAGCATGAAATAATTATGGGCCAACCTATCCGTTCATGAATTTATATATGCAATGTATCATGTAACGAAAAGGCCAATACTAGTAGGACTCCTTGATATTTTCCCTTAGAATTCTAGATACCAGGAAATTAGAATCTTTGAATTCTTTTTTTATTAATTAAATGTACATATGAAAGGTAAAAAACCACTCCTAACCAACTTCTTGTATGCCTGTGTGTGACAATTTTGAATTTGTTTAATAATTGAGTTTGATATGAAGTAAAATTAGATTATTTAAGCCGCCTATGTTTTCTTAATTTAATCAGCTTCTCAGAATTTACGAATCCTCCTTTTTATTACGAGTGAAATACTATTAGGATAAGTCATTTGAGTGAAATAAAAGATCATACGGGCTAGAAACCATTGGCTTTTAATAAACTATTGATGGGCCCTCCACCAGTTAGTTTCTAATCAAATCAAAACTAGAGGCCTAAAAATCGATGGCCAGGATGTAAACCCAAATCCACCAAATCACCAGGCCCTTTAACATCAATACGGGCTTTCGGAAAAACGCAGTAAAGGGCATTAGACTGAACTCGTTATCCAAAACCCAGCGCCTGCAAATATCAGAAGGGTATCTCTTTTTAACCGTGTGTGGCTAGCTCGGCTTCACGTTGTTTTCTTTTTTGGCTCTTCCAAAACACTCTCTGCATCTCAAATTTCCCAAACTCAGTCTCTCTTGCTCTCCACACCTATCTTATTCTGATATTATCAGCATTTTTGTAAAGAAAGAAAAACCTGTCTCTTTTTGGGTTCCTGAAATGCTGGCGTCTCAATTGTGCTGTTATATTTTGTTGGGACAAGAGTTTAAGTCCAGAGTTTGATTCTTTGGGCTGAATGAGCTCCCATGCCTTTACTAGGTAGACTTTGACTCTCTGGGTTTCTCTTTGTTTCCGTTATTTTGCTGTAGTTCAAGAGATTTTTACTGCTTCTGACTGCTGCAAAGAAGAGATATGTCAGATTTTTTTGCCTTCGCAATTGGCAAGTTTAGCTTCAATCTGTAGTTGTTGAGTTTGTCTTTTGGTAGACGAAAGTGGGTTACTTGTATGGATTTAGTGTCGATAGGGTGTTAAGAATTCTTGTTTTCATTATTTGTCCCTCCTCTGGTTCTTTTCACCAGAAGAACTCTTGCAGCAAATATATTGGTCCTTGTTCATATTTGGTTTTTCTCTTGGGTTTGTGCTTCTTTCACCAGCTTCTACTGATAATTAACTATGAGCATCTTTGCTGTGCTTGGCTGCCTGGACAGATATTGCCACTGCTCAACCTTCCTTGCAAAGTCATCTGGTTCCATTGAGGGCTCAAACTCTTATCCACGGCCAATTTTTGTCAAATCCATGGAAATCCTCCCAACTCCCTACAAGGCTAAATTTTCATGTGGGGCACCTGGAGACTCTGACTCAAGGTGGTAAACTCCAGATTAGAGCCGTTGCTACCCTTGAACCCAAGTGCTCAGTTCCAAAAGAAGATGGACGTAATAAGTCACAGCTCGGCCGTGATTCAAGTCCTTCGTCCACTCAGCTTGAAACTTGGAAGTCTGGAGACTCAGATGAGGAACTGGACGAGAGAGAAAAGTTAAGACGGATAAGGATTTCTAAAGCAAATAAGGGAAACACACCGTGGAACAAAGGCAGGAAGCACAGTGCCGGTAAATTTCCCTTAATTGACCTAGGTTCTTGCACTAGTCAGTCTGTTTCTATTTTGTTTAGTGCATTGTTGTTACGGTTTTACGGCAAATGCGTATACTTGTACCTGCAGAAACCCTTCAACGGATAAGGGAGAGAACAAGGCTTGCAATGCAGAATCCTAAGGTGATGTCATGTAAGAATTTTTTATGTTTTGAGTGGGGATTGAACTTTGTATGTTTTTATGTTTGCATAGAGTGAAATTAATCACATCAGCAAACCTGTTCTCCAGCATTTAGGTTGTTGTCTGGTACACATTTGAATCAATTAATTCATTCCTGGTTAAGAACGAAAACCGAAAGGTCAGGTCTGAACTCTTAGAGGGCCCCCCTTTCGTCCTTTTATTTTGTACATCATAAAAGTGCAATCTTTCATTATAATCAAAATAAAAATTGGTATGAATATTGTGTGAATCTTCTGAACTATATGTCCTTAAATAATGAGATCTCCCCCACGTCCATATCATAAATTGGCTAATTGCTGTAGTTTCTCATCTTTCGATAGCATCTATATTTGAATTGTCTGAAGTGTTCCAATCAGTTGTTCATTTATACTCTGTCAAAAAAAAGTTGTTCATTTATAGATGAGGAATGTTTTGTTTATATATTTGAAATTTTGTATATCTGGAATGTACTTCTTTCTTTCATAGTTTCCTTTCACATTAGTGAGCCCCTATTGATCTCTTTTGAGAATGAAACATTTCTAATGACTTTTTTAAAAAATAAAAAAAATAAAAATGGAAATGAGCTAGTTGAATGGGGAATTGATGGTTTTATCTTTGGAATATTGAGATTACCTTAGACCAAGTCGAAAGGAAAATATTTTCTTCGTCTCATATGCAATTATCTGGCATCAGATTTATTTACTCCTTAAAATAAATTGGAAATGCAGGTCAAAATGAAGTTGGTTAACCTTGGACATGCTCAGAGGTGGGTACTTTCTTGTCAGACTTTTAGTTTTAAAACGCCATCTTTATCTATTAAATTCTAGAAAGTCCTAGTCATTCAGAGTTCTTATATATGTCCAGAATTGGCTTGTACTTGGGTTTCAAATACAGTTTATCAACATATCTGAAATTTATATATGCTTTTGTTTCTACCTTGTTTGACTCTCTTCATAATGATCCTACAGCAAAGAGACAAGAGAAAAAATTGGAATTGGAGTGCGAATGGGGTGGGAAAGGCGCCGTGAGAAGTTAATGGTGCAGGAAAATTGCCACTTTGAGTGGATGAACTTGATTGCAGAAGCTTCTAGAAAAGGCTATTTCGGTGAGGAAGAGCTGCAGTGGGATTCTTACAAGATGCTAGATGCACAGCTGACAAAGGAGTGGTTGGAAAGTGTCGAAGAAAGGAAAACGATGCCTAGACCAAAAGGTAGCAAGAGAGCACCAAAATCCCTTGAACAGAGAAGGAAAATTGCAGCAGCCATTGCAGCCAAATGGGCTGATCCCGTAAGTGCTTGCATGATTTTTTTCCTTCAGCTGTGAAGATTATGTCATGGATAGTAAGCAGAACCTATAGGAGTTGAGCATAAAAATGATCCCAACTTATGCTAAAATTGTAGTGAGCCTTCACAAATAAATAAAGGATGGAAAAAGTGGAAAAATAGTGTTGCAATGAGAAAGGGGAAAGTTTGTGATGTTTGCATAGTAAGACACCTGAATATTTTTTTGGTCACCTCACTCTTGTCAGACCCAATTCAACTGAGGAAACCTAGGTTTGGAGGTTTCTATCCACTTCCAGATCCAACTTGGATCTGGATTACAAGCGTGTTGACTTTCCCTAGTATTTTTATTTTATTTTCTTTTCAAACTGGACACCCAAATCTCAACCTTTTTAATATTTACTGTTTAGCTGCCTTAATTCCCCTCACCACCATCTATGCATCTATAGTCAATTGAATTGTTATGGACTGTGAGAATACCCAAGATGGGATTATTCCAACAGATGTCACTTAGTACTGATTTAATTACCATCAAGGTATCCTTATAGTTGCATCCGAACTTGGGTTTTTTGTTCTTGTTATTTCCCTGAATAGGAATACCGTAAGAGAGTTTGCTCTGGCTTGGCAAATTATCATGGCACACCAGCTGGGGCTGAAAGAAAATCGAAGAGGAAGCCAATGGGTGGTACACGGTCCATGCAGAGCCCTTCAAAGAGGAAAGCTAGTGACACAAACAATTCTTCTACTAGTGAGAATATAAGCCCAATTGAGCGGTTAAGGTTTCAAAGAAGAAATAAACCACTTTATAAGGATCCTATGGCAAGTTCCAAACTTGAAATGATAAAGAACATCAGAGCACAAAGAGCAGCAGAAGAATCTAAGAAAACAGAAGCTGTTGAACGAGCAAGGTTAGCCATTTGTTCTTAGTCTTTGCTTATATTCTGCAAGCATATAACATGAATGGGAGCAATGCGAAATGCAAGGGTTGCCATGCCTGTCCCAACCTTCTTAGATATTTCTCTTAACCATTTCCATGCATCATCGTCTTACATATTTTGTAGCAATGAGAAATTTAGGTTGCTAATTCACTGGATAACTCTATGCTCACATATATGACACTGCAGACTTTTAATTGCTGAAGCTGAGAAGGCTGCGAAAGCCCTTGAGGTTGCTGCAGTGAAGAGCCCTGTTGCTCGAGCTTCCCTCATTGAAACCAGAAAGCTTATAGCAGAAGCAATTCAATCAATTGAATCCATTGAGAGTGGACAGGTTACATCTGATGAGAATGGTGGATATGTTTCTGTTGACTCAGCTGAACCAGTTAGCCAGGTTGAAAAGAATATGCAAATCCAATCTGAAAACAGCGGTTTGAACCAAGCAGAACAGAAAGAAGTAAATGGCAAGCAAAACCTTTCATTAAGTAAGAATGAGGAGTTTAATTTCCCTAACTATGTGTTCCAGAGGATAGTGAACGGTGACAATGATGAACTTACTTCTCCGAGCTCGAATAATTATAGTTTATCAACTCTCAACTTTGAAAGTTTAATTAAGAAGTCTGATTCATCTAAACATGTTGACCTGTTGGTAACAAATGGGATTATCAAACATGAGAGGAATCCTCTACCAAATGGAATCAAATTTAAGCTGAAGGATGGTGACGTGCCCTCTAAACCAGTTATTGTAACTAAGAAATGGGTCCGTGGTAAGCTTGTTGAAGTAACTGAAGAAGCTTCATAGATATCATAAACTAGACATAGATATTCATCTGATCTTCCTGAACATACTGAGCATATGCTGCAATGTGTTATGTGCAAGAGTCCAACAATCTTCATGAAGGAGCTTGGGCACTGCCACTGACTTGTGGAATTTTCCCTATTATCAGCTATATTTAATAGTTGCAATTGGCAGAATCTTTTGATATTACTGCAGCACTTGAAGCACAGATGTATCTGTCAGTACTTTTTTTAAAATTGTAATGTTAGATTAGTTCTTAAATGAAAAAGTATTACTTTCTTCGTGTAGGCGATAGAGTCTGACAGAGGTGCTACATTAGAATCCAGGTTTGGAGTTTTGCATGGCAAACTATAATGCTTTATATGTACATATTCAAAGACTGCATGCAATGCAGGCTTGTATTACATATATCCATTCACCAGGTAAAAGCTTTTCCATATTTCAACTATGGTAGTGTTTTAAGTAAAAACGCAGCTCTACTTATCACAGTCTTGGTAGCTCTTAACTTGGGAGTTGATTTTTTCCCCACTTCTATCCTCTTGCTTTCTTTCTCTTCTTTCCCATTCTTGATCTCCTGTTCCACGTCCTCCTCCTAACCAAAAAAGAAAAAAAAATTCATGGACAGGCAACAAAAACACTGAATGTAACACAGATAATATATCAAAACTGAAGCTTGCTAGATCCATAGTAAGCAAGTCATAGAGAAAAGTCAGTTACATCGATACGTTCATTGGTGGGCCGCTTTGCCCCATGCACAGCTGCCCGGTTTGATGCTTTGAGGGTATGTAACCGCAGCCACTGGTCCTGCTTCTGGTTCCAGACCATCCTAGCGCTACTACCCACTGCTCTCCATCTACCACTAACTCCAACCCTTCCCTCCATTTTCTTCAAGGGTTCAAGCTCGACCGCAAAGGCTTTCCTCCTACCGTTTCTGCTCCTTATAATTCTTCAAATTTCAATAACTCATTGTCCCCGTGTGTAGGGTAATGATGACACTTGTTGTCCAGTGTTTTACTACGTGGCAATGTCTTACTCTGTTTCTCACGTGGTAGGAAGCACGATGTCGTATCCTTGTTGGATAATAAATAGATCGGGCCGGTGGATCCAACCCACCCGAGGCAATGGTGGGCCGGTAGGGAGTCATTTTCCTCCACCGACCGTTTCTGCTTCATCAACAAATTGGCATTCTTGCTTACGCCAACACCACTTAAAATAAAAATTCACTCTTTTTTTTCTCTTTGCATCAAAACCCCAAAATGTAAAACAATCCCCATTTCCATTCTAATCACCCGAAAAAACAGATTTTCAAAATCGCAGTTATCATCACCGACTCAGCGATTCACTCGCTCACTTCCTCAGTCGCTGGCTCACTCCTAAGCAACGATGGACCGAGATTCTTCCGACGAAGACGACGACCGCCAAACCTTAATCCACCAAAATGACACGAAGAACCTCCCGCACCAAATCCCCGCCAGCCCGCACCCTTCAACTAGCCCAAGATCCAGTTTCCACATCGAAGAGCTGGAATCCCAAATCCGACGGCGTTTCAAACTCACCTTCAACAAACGTTACCTCTGGGCCATTTTCCTGCCTCTCCTCATCATCCCAATCTACTTCTCCACTGACATTCGCTCCCTCTTCTCTTCCAACATCTCCTCCCTTAATTTCAATACGGTGTCGGATCGAATCAGGGAATCACAACTCCAAGCTCTTTATTTGTTAAACCAACAGCAAAACTCCCTTCTTTCTCTCTGGAATCACACTTTCGTTAACTCTAATAACAACATGACAGCCGTCCAATATGATGACATCAAAGCCTCATTACTCACTCAGATCACATTAAACAAACACATCCAGCAAATCCTCTTATCCCCTCACAAAACCGGGAACTCCCCTCAAAACGGTACCCTCTTAGACCCCAACTTTCCTGGTTACAGTTTCGACCGATGCAGAAAAGTTGACCAGAAATTTGCTGAAAGAAAAACAATCGAATGGAAACCAAAACCGAATAAGTTCTTGTTCGCGATTTGCTTGTCGGGTCAAATGAGTAACCACTTGATTTGTTTGGAAAAGCACATGTTTTTTGCGGCGGTTTTGAATCGGGCGTTGGTAATTCCGAGTTCGAGATTCGATTACCAGTACAATCGGGTTTTGGACATCGAGCACATTAACGATTGTATTGGGAAAAAAGCTGTTATTCCATTCGAAGAGTTTATGGAAATCAAGAAGAATCACGCTCACATTGATAAATTCATTTGCTATTTTTCGAGTCCGCAGCCGTGTTACGTGGACGAAGAGCATTTGAAGAAGTTGAAGTCGTTGGGGATTTCGATGGGGAAACTGGAAACGGCTTGGAAGAATGAGGATACTAAGAAGCCGAGTCAAAAGACGATTAAGGATGTGGAGGAGAAGTTTGGTTCGGATGACGATGTGATTGCCATTGGGGATATATTTTATGCGAATGTGGAGAGAGATTGGGTTTTACAACCGGGTGGTCCGATTGCTCATAAGTGTAAGACTTTGATCGAGCCGAGTAAGCTCATTTTGTTGACTGCTGAACGGTTTATTCAGACGTTCTTGGGGAGTAATTTCATCGCTCTTCATTTCCGGCGACATGGATTCTTGAAGTTCTGGTATGTTTTTTGATTTCCTTGTGATTTTCTGGATTTAAAGATTTGAACTTGTTTAGGCAAGTAACAATTTTTACTAAGCAAATATCTTATGCTTAGTTTGCTTTGGTTAAATATTTGTTAGTTGGTATTGAGAAGATAAGTTTCCTCTAGGTGTGTTAATTGTTTTTGTTTCAATTTATCTGTTTTAAGTTGAGCATATCATATGATTTAACTTGAGGTCGTAAGCTCTTAATTCAAAGTGCTGAAATTTGTTGGAGCTTGAAATAATAGTGTGTAACTCTTCTTGTCCTAGGCATGGACAATTGTAAAAATTTGGTTCAAAGTATTTTGCACTAATATGGAATTCCATATTTTAAATTCCCATGGAAAAAAAATTAGGTTGGCATTTTAATTAAAAGCACCTTATTGGCATCTTGGGTCTGCTTCTGTCTCCTTTTGTTGTGTGAGATGAGATGAGTTTTTTGTATAAATGCCACTAACATTTCTTGCTTATCTCCCAGCAATGCTAAAAAGCCAAGCTGCTTTTATCCTATTCCTCAAGCTGCAGATTGCATCACTCGAATGGTTGAAAGGGCCAATACTCCAGTTATATACCTTTCAACAGATGCAGCAGAAAGTGAAACTAGTTTGCTGCAATCGATGGTTGTGCTGAATGGGAAGACAATACCACTTGTGAAACGTCCTCCTCGTAATTCAGCCGAAAAATGGGATGCCTTGTTATATAGGCATGGGCTTCAGGAAGATCCTCAGGTGAGATTTTGAAACCATTTTCGTGTTAACAGGAAGAACATATATGGATGCTTTTGAAGACGTCCTGTCTTTTCAAAGGTTAGAATGGGGTACCTTGGTTTGTCCTTTCACTCTTCGAACCCTCAATCCTTATGACTTCAGGAGTTGCTAGATTTCAAGGCTAACCTCTTGGGGAAATTATAGTAGGTTGCGTTGCTCATCTGGGTTGTCAAGAAGTGAGGTTTGTTGCCCCATCTCACTTGGAAATGGCCTGTTTTCTTGATCACATTTCACCAAAACGATCCAAAGTTCCTGGTCTACATATTAGATGTTACAAACAATTGAGGGTGTTCTATCTGTTAGGTTTATTGCACAAAATATGACCTGTTGAGTTTTTAACGATAACAGAGCTCCCTTCTCTTTCCTTGTTCCTCTTTCTACCCCTCTCCCATCCCTCTGAAGTTCAAGCTGTGGTTGGTTAGGAAAAGCATGAATCAGTGGATATTTGAGTTTGCCCCATAGTTCAACAGACGCTTTTGAATCTTTTTAAGTTTTTGTTTCCATTATTCTTTAGGACGGTGCCAAAGTATTTTGTAAATTCATGATGAGGGTCCTCAAAGTATTGACCTTTTAGTAGCGATATCATTACAGTTTTCCTAGATCAATCTAAATTTGATCTTAATTGTTACATTGAAGGTGGAAGCTATGCTGGATAAGACCATCTGTGCTATGTCTAGTGTGTTCATTGGAGCCCCAGGTTCAACTTTCACAGAGGATATTTTGAGGCTCCGAAAAGACTGGGGAACTGCATCTTTATGTGATGAGTACTTATGCCAAGGTGAAGAGCCAAACTTTACTGCAGGTGCGGAGTGAAGAAGATGCGAAATGGCAGGTTGCAAATTCGCTTTAGCTTGAATTTTCTCATGCTCCTTGCTCCCGGAGATTGTCTATTGCGGAGGATGGTTGGTTTGCGGTTATTGTATTGTAGTGTATTATAAGGTCATTAAATTGATTATTAGTTTTGCATCATTCTTACACTGTGGTCGAGTATGTTTTATTTGATCCATTTTGGCGTTCATTAACTTAGCCACTAAACCTGAATTGATTTGTTGACTTTGTAAATTTGCAATCAGTAGTTGGAGAAGACAACTTCTTGGAAGGAAGAGCCTATGGCCCCCATTTCTTCTTGTAAGGAAGAGACTGACTTGACTTTATCATTAACCCATCTGTAACCCAACAGCAGACCCGTTATTATTTTATGAATGGAAAGCTCGTGCAGTTAAACTAGTGAACGTATGGTGACTTTGTTAGGAATGAATGTGAATGTGATTGTGATTCTTGGGAACGTAATTACTTAGAAGGTGATTGTTGAGCGAATTTTATACATGAAAAATATTGATTTAAATAATGAAAAAAGAAAGAAAAAAGTTTATGAATGGTAGGAGCAAGTTTATATTTAAAATGATTAAATAAAATAATTTTTTTTAAAAAAAAGATAAATGTGAAAGAAAGAAAAACAATTACAATCAAATATGTGAAAGTTTCCGACTATGATAGAGATGGGCATTCCAAGCTTTTATCCCCTGAGGTAAATGTGAACCCTGAAACGAACTGAATCCATGGTAGCCCTAGAGATATCAGTTGAAGTACAAGCTTCTTCCCATACTTGCCGTTACTCCTCTCAGTGCTGACGAGATATATAGATGTATGCATTCCAAGCCAATCTTAAGGATAAGCGCAGGGAGAGATCGATTCGATGGAGAACAAGAAGCTTTGTCTGAGGTGAGCGCTAAGGACCCGAGTTAGGATTAAAATGAGAAAGGTTCACTCTTTTCCTTTTCAATGAATATTACCTTTCCTTTGATCATGAAAAGTTAACTTTATAGATATATTTTATACTAGTACGAGAATCTCATGCCTTCCAATTAAATTATAGAACGTGATTCATATTTTTGCAATACCAATTTATTCATATTTTTAGTATCAATTTTACCTTTTCAGAAGTTAAAGATAGTCAAATTACTTACCTAATAAAAAAAATTGAAACAAATGAAAAATGGCTTGCTTGATTAATTGTGAACATAAATTACATAATTGAATCCAAAGTGGATGAAGAAAAGAGATAATGTAGGCACTTTCTACATAGTTGCATGCCATAAAGTTTTTCTTTAAAAAAAGTATTTAAAAGTGAATAAAGGAAATTGAAAATTATAGAGATAATGCTTAAATAGCTAATCCAACTTACATCTAGCTTATTGGAGTCCTATCTCCTCTCAACAAAATGTTCAACTTTGAACCTTTCAAACATTAAAGATGATTGCTTTCAGCACAATATTATTGGTCAAAATCTGATTATAATATATAAAAGAAACTTCTTTTAGGCGAAAAGGCTGATAAGGCCACTAGTAAAAATACTTTGGCTTTGAGTTCTAAATTCAGTGAGCACGTGGGAAACAGGTGATCGGAATTGATAAAACAACAAAACATAGATACATAAATATTAAAATTTTGTGTTAAGATAATTATATAAATTATTTAATTAGCGTCATAATAAAATATTACTATTTAGCTAGATTATAATATTTAGTTAAATTTATATTACAATATTATTAGTAAATTAGAGTTAAACTATAAAATTATTAATCAAGTTGATAATTATA